GGCTAACACTGAGGGAGCAAAAAGTCACTACCAAATTTAAATCCCAAAGCATGTGGGGGATTTTTTCTTCCTGTAACACCCTCCATCCTTTGGAAGTCCTGCCCTCCCAGACCTCCTCCTGCACCAGGCACCCAGGACAGTCTCACTTGCCTTCTCTTGATTAGAAGTGTTGCTCAGCTGTAGCTGAGAATTGGCACCTTATTTGTGTGGTGGTGCTCAAGGGACAAATTGTCCCCATAAAATGGGGCAAAATGCTCACATTTGAGATCACAGAAGGCTGGAGAAGAACCTGATGTGCTGTAACTAACTTACAACCTGCTCTTTTTTTATGTAGCCTCTCAAGATACTTGCTTCCACGGGGCGTGCTGTAAAACCAATGAGTTTTGCAGCCTCGGGTTTATGCGTTGCCTGAGCTTCCCAAACGCATTAAGAGGTGTAATGTGAAGTTTAGTTGTGTTTTCTGTGGCTCCCTACCCTCATGCAGTAAAAAGTTGCCTTTGTAAGGAGCTGAGACAGCCTTTGGGGGAGGCATGTGTGGCACAGAATTGCTTGGAGTGCATCTGGTGGCTCTCTCCTGAGGAGCAGCGTGGGAGGAATAATAAGGTGTTGCTGCACATCTGCTTTTCCCTTATGGATGGCCTGCATCTGCATCCCAGTCCAGCCTCCACGTGGATGTAGAGCCTGTGTGTGACAGAGAGGGAGGGAAAAGGGGAAAGCTGAACCCCTGGAGGTGACAGGATGGTTATTAAAAGAAGGAAGTGTCATTTCTCTGCAAATTGAGTTGTGTGCTGGCGGTGCACCAGCTTCTCCATCCAGAGGGAAGCGTGTTCCCAGATGGATCCTGCACATCCCCGGCCCCTGGGAAGCACATCTGTGCACATGGGTGCAGAAATGAAACCCTTTTGCTGATTCACAAAGGGAGCAGTGCATCTTGCTGGGGCTGCAAAGGAATTCCAAGACCATGTGGGACCAAATTCACAGGTTTCAGAGGTCAGGCTCTTAATCCCCAGACCAGCCTTTCTGTGATCTCTCTATTGATCCCACGTGCAGGATTAAGTGTGCTGAGACACATAAAGGGTTTTTAATGGTCCTTGTGCAGGGGTAATGACCCCCAGGGGAGGATCTTGGTTGCTTGCAGATCCTTTACAAGAAAATTGCTGTGTAGGTTTGCAGCCCTCTGTAAACTCCAGAGAGGAGTGTGTGCCATGGAGCATCCTCCTCAAGGACACACACAGTAGAAATGTGTGGTGGAGGGTGGCTCAGAACGTGCCCCTGATGTCTCCTTTAATGGTCACTGCAATGCTTCTGGGTAATGCTGCCCTTTCCCCAGGAATTTTCACTCCAAGGAAACCTGGATCACCCTCCAGTTGTTGGGTCAGAGGAGAACAACTTCAATTAACACAGAAAAGCTTTAAGCTAAACAAAGATATCAGCTTGGACTTAATAATTAAGCACCTTTTGCTGTGCTGGTGCTTATCCCAGTGAGTCTGACATCCATATGATGCTGTTAACACTTAAATTCTCCTTCTGAGCTGAGGTCCAGGGTCTGCTGCCCTTCCCTTCCCTGCTTTATTATCTCTGGGGCTGCTTCTGCACCTCGTGCCTCTTTTAATCTAAAACCTGTTTCTCTTTTGGACAGAACAGAAAAACAAAAGAGATTTGGAAACCTGTTTAAGATAGAAAAGTTGAAGCTGAACCATTTCAGGCTCAAGGACAGCCTAAGGTAGGAAAATGTTGGTGGTCCCACCCCTTTCCCCCTTCAAACCTGAGCATTCCTCCTGGCAGTTATTTGAGAGCAGGAGGTCTAGGGGTAAGGAATACAGCTTTTTTTTGGGAAACTTAGGCCAAAAGTGCTTGTATCAACTCACTAGGAGCTACTATGGCTGATGTGGCCAATGGTCCATCTGTGCAGCTTCTCCAGAATCTCTGGCATCAGGAATCTCCAGGAACTGGTCCTACAGCAGTTTCCAGGTTTTCATGGATTTTCTGCTGCCTTTGGTACCTTTCTGATACCTCAGCATGACACAAGGTGCACAAGGGAATGTAGAAATGTAGAAACCTGCTGCCTTGACCTGTGAGCCAGGATTAGGGACAGCCTTGCTGATGTGGGGTGTTATTCCAAGTCCCATTCAGAGCCAAGCTGGCAAGAGCATCTGCTGAAGAAGTTTAAGAGAGTTTTCATTCTAACAGGATAGAGAAGATTGCATAACTTCTTACAGTGCCTTTTTGGGTACTCTAATATCCAAAACTGTCAATAAGTTTCCAAGGAAATCGCCTTTTCCTCAAGAGTGCAGAACCTGCAGAACCTGTCCTCCACTGCTGCCAGCAAGTGCCTCACCCTGTGCACTGTGAATTCCAGGAAAACACCCCCTTCTCTTATTTCTTTGGAAATTCCAGGTTAAACCTTTCCTCTTTCCTCTTTTATGTCAGGGAGTTTTTTTTCCCTTACAAATCTTTTCACACAAGGTGCCCTGCAGTGGCTCCTTCAAATATAAATATCATTATAGGGAAAGACCTGCCAGGTTTTGTGCCGTTCTCTTGTCTCAAAGAACTCTCAAAGCTCCTGAAATCATCTTCAATATCTAAAGACATTGCCCATTTCGAATTCCTGGACACCCCCTGGTGTTGGCAGACTTAGAGGAAGGAATTACTACTGACTAAAAATTCCAACTATCCAGCACCCCCCTTGCTGTTGAGAGGGGCAGCAGGAGTTTGTGCTGTTCTTTGGATGCAGGGTAGATCTTTCCTGCTTGATGAACACATGGCTCTTGTTGCTGTCAGGAAATGCTTATTTAGCAAGGGATTTCATTTTGGGAAATGCTGTTGGTACCGTGGAGCCCATGCACCCCAACTTGTCTCTGTCACTTCAGCAGCATCACAGGCAGCTTTTTGGGGCATTGCTGATGTGCAGATTTGTTTCTAAAAGCCTTTTTTTCTATCCACAGACTGGTTTCCATTTCAGTACCAAATTTAGGTAAGCACCCACCTGTACCTGGCTCCTGGGGATTTGTGTGTGTTTGAAGAGGCAAATGTTTTGTACAATCAGCTTGGTGCACTGTGCCTTTGTGAAAATCATGTATTTGGTAGTAGTAGCTTTGAAGGCCTGATAGAAATTTGTGCTCCATTTGGGAGGGGGGTGGTGTTTGCTCATTTTTGGGTGGTTTTACTTTAAAGAAGAGCATTCCTCCTGCAGATCTGGATATATCCAGGAAGGTAATGTGTGAAACAGTCCATGCAGAACCACTGCTCCCAGGCTGGCAGTGCTGTGTGAGCCCATGGCACTCTAGCAAAACTCTTTATTTTTGTAAAACTCTTTATTCCTGACTGTTGGAGGGTCAAAAAAATGGGGTGGATACAGCCTCAACATTGAGGAGGTGCAGGAGTGAACACAGCCAAATCCTTGTGCTGGGAGCCCTGCCTGGGCTGGCTGCAGAGCAAAGCTGGGGCTTTGCTGCTGCTCCTGCTCCATCCTCAGAGCTGGATGGCCAAACCCATGCAGAGAACTGCCCATAAACACAGCTAAGCAACCCCAGCAGCATTCACTGTGCTGGACCTTTGCTGGGTGTTTGGCAGCTCCGAGGCTCCTCTTGCATTTCCTCGGCCCCTTTGGGCTGAGTGACGAGCAGCAGCCCAGTTTTTCCTCTGCAATAGATTATTTGGGGTACCAGGCTCAGAGTGACATCTCCTGCTCATTTTCTGTCCTGCACTTGGATTGACAGCAGCTGTCTCCCAGGAGGAAAACGTGTACGATGACGTCGAGGTGGGGCAGGCAGAGACCAGGTGAGGAGTGTGCCCTTTCCTGGGGTTGGGATTTTCCTCCTGGCACAAACCCATGCCTGGTGCTGTAACCCACTGAGGGGCACGAGCTGGTTGGGATTCAGCCCTCTGGAGGCAGTCCAGGTGCCCTCCCTCTGTGTGTTGAATTTGGCAGGATATTTCCTCGCCATAACCCGGTTAGCGCCAGCGATGCGAAAAGGAGAGAGCAGCTCCCTGAAACACGTGAAAAATCAGATCTTTTTCCTAAGGAAGGAAAACTCCATCTCCCAGACCCGATTATCAACCCCATCCTGGCAGGCTCCTTGTCAGAAAAATTACTTTTAATAGGAACAGCATGTCCTGGTGTCTTGCTGCCAGATGACTGCGGCGGCCGCGCGTGCTGGTGTAAATCACAGCAAGTGTTTGCATTTCAGGGCAGGGCGTGGGGGGAGATGGAGAAAAATCACGGCTCTGGGGAGGGGACACGATCTGCTGGGAAAAACCTGAATTCCTGCCTGTCTGTTCCTCTCAGAGGGAAGGATGAGAAGTACAAAGTCCGCATGCCAAAGCTTCGGGTGATGAGAGAGTACAAGGACAAAAGGAAAAGCGTCGACAACGTGGAAAGGTCCTGATTTCCATCCTGTGTTCCCATTTTGTCTGACTTTTGTACACGTCTCTTGAGTGGCTTCAGGAGCAGGATGTCCCTGATTGCACAGACATTTTGTGTTGGTTGGTAGTCCAGGGTCCTTTCCCTTTGAAGCCAGAGTTCAGGAATCTCTGCAGAAAATATCCCAAGGGTGAAACAAACTCTTGGGTCTGAACTGAGAGCAAGGGGGGGATACCCAGAGGTCTCATCCTGAAGTCTTGTCGTGACTTTCCACTGAGCTGAGACAAACAGTTGTTATTTGCTGTATATTTGGCTCCTTTTTACTATCTTAGTAGGTTTAGATTAGGTTTTAGGAAGGAATTATTCCCTGTGAGGGTGAGGTTGCCCAGGGAAGCTGTGGCTGCCCCTGGATCCCTGGAAGTGCCCAAGGCCAGGTTGGACAGGGCTTGGAACAACCTGGAATAGTGGGAGGTGCCCATGCCAAGGGCGTAAAACCATTCTATGATTTTGGCAAGGGCCTTGTATTTTATAATATTGATTATTTGGGCTGATTGCATTGATTCTTTCTGTGCCATTTGTGCATAAAAGCAAATTCTTTTAATTTTCTTTTTTGGTTACTGGTGCTGCAAAAATTCACATGAAAGTGGGAGATTTCCTTTCCCTTTTGGATCACAAAAATGTGCATCACAACAACCCTTTTCATGACCTAATACCTGGGACTTTGAATGCAAATCAGAGACCCATTTTTCAGGTACTCACCACAGAGCTCCTGTGTGGGGCTGCTCTAACACCACTGTTTGTGCTGTGCAAAGGCACAGGTATGACTTTACAGACCATGGGGGAGTCCATGCAATTTCAAATTTCCCTTGGAGATCACAGGTCCTGCCCAAGGAGGAATCTCTTCACTGCTTTAAAGTCCCTAATTTCAGCTCTTGTGTCCTTTCCTCTTTAAGTGCATCAAAATGAGCCAAGGATGGATAATTTGTTACAAATGGGTGGGGGAGATTTTTGTTTGGTGTTTTTTTTTCCTGTCTCAGTTTTGAAATGAATGCTACAGCTGTAATTTCGTGTGTCACAAAGAGTGGCATCCCCATATGCAGGGAATGCCCCAGTCCCTTTAAGTGGGTTGTAAGAACTTGTTTTCCACTTCACAGTGCCATATAAATGTCTAATTGGAAGACTTTCTCCTCCATGTGCTAAAAAACCCAAAGAAAATCTGGAGAGCTGTGTCAAACCCCACTTCCATAAATGATTCAGGATGAGAGTTATCTGGGGACCCTTTATTTCTGAGTATAAATAAAACCAGAAGGAGACAAACTGCTGGGGGAAAAGTGAATTGTTGACTTCCATAAAAACGGGGCTGATTTGAAACACTCAATAGAGTTTATTTGTTCCCACGCTGCTTACAGACCAAAAAAAAATAAATTATCCTAAATGGAGATACAAAATGGCTCAAGTTGTGCCTCACTCAGTTTGAGTTGTCTATTCACCCTTTTGTGAGAAATAGGGATGTGAACAGTGTGCTTTGCTTTTCCAAGGGTTCCTTGCAGACAAGGCTGGAATTAGGCTCTGGGTTGCAATTTCAGATGTGCCAGGGGTTATTTAAATGGAGCTCAAAAGTGCATATGTGTGTGTGTGTCTTGCTGCAGAAATATCTTCAAATTCAAGAAGAGCAGTGAAGAAAAGGGCAAGAAGATGGACACTTCAAATTCAAGAAGAGCAGTGAAGAAAAGGGCAAGAAGATGGACAAAGAAGAGAAACTCTTTAGAGAGACATTCATGGTGGGTGTTTCTAGCTGTGTCAGGGGAGGAAAGCAGCTCTGTGGCTTGTTTAAAAGACACATCTTGTTGCTCCTCAGCTGTACTGGGAAAGTTGTCCCTTCACCTGTTGCCTTCTCACCTAATCTGGGGTTTCCAGAGGAGAAAAGCAGCTCTGTGGTTTGCTTAAAAGACGCCTGGTGGAAAAGCAGCTCTGTGGTTTGCTTAAAAGACGCCTGGTGGAACCCTCTTGGTCCTCAGCTGAGCTGGGAAAGTTGTCCTGCTGCCTTAGGATTTAGCTTTTAAATTTTTCAAATCCTGTACTGCATTAGTGCATAACTCTAAATTCCATGTAAATCATTAGTCACTGTCTTCACGTTTTGGTCAGACAAAACAATCCCCCTAGGCCTGAGATCCAAGGACACCTCACTGCCTCAGGCCCTGAGAAGTGTAAACAAAAGTGAATCGAGGGGGAGCAAATTGCGGGTAAAAGACTTCCTAACCCAAAGCTGGAATTGGAGCATTAACCCCTGGTATCTAAATGCACCAAACTCATAATTGTCTGAAAAAATTGGTGAGCATTGTCCATCCTGGGTGTAGCCTCTGGGAGGCTTCTGACTGCCCCATAAATAAACATATATTTACATACAATAATATATAACAGAGTGGCTTTAGGCAGCCACTCCAAGGCACCAGTCCCACCCAGCTGTTGCCTTCTCCCCTAACCTGGACCTTCACCAGGTGCATTGCTGGGGTTTCCCTCCCTCCCTCTCCCCAAAACCTCACATCCCATCCCCAAATCTCCTCTGTGCCTCCCTCCACGCTTGTTGGTTCTCAAGCAAGGCAAACACCCTGGTTCAGAGCCAGCACGGTGGCCCCCTTTGGCCACTTGGACCATAACCCACAGCATCAATGTGATGGATGGCGAATACGGTGTTTACTGCAGGGAAATTTAACATTTTATAACCTAGGCTCACTGTGTTTCTCCCATCTGCTTTTGTCACAGCTAGGTGCTATTGGCTAATTGCAGGGGTCATTACCATATTACGGAGAGGGGATTTATTAACTTTCTCTAACATCCCCAAGTCTTCCTAACGCCAGGCATTAGACCAACACCCGCTGCCCTCAGCGAGGTGCAGGATAACCACAGGCCTCTCCCTGTCCTGCAGTACCACAAGGAGATCCGTGTGCTGGCCAGGGCCAGCGCCGGCTGCTCGGTGGCCAGCCAGCGGCGCGCCGACCTCCCGCTCACAGCTGGGGAACAGCTGGATGTCATCGAGGCCGTGCAGGGCCACGCCGTCATCTGCCGCAACGCCCAGGGCAGATGTGAGTGTCTGCAGCCCAGCTCTGGGTGACAAATCACCCCCCAAACCACAGCACGGCCTGCCTTGGCTCACATCTCGCTCATTCCCTTCCTTCTTCCTCTTCCCTCAGATGGGTACGTTCTGCTGGAGCACTTGAACTTCAGGTAAACTCGGATTTTTATTTATTATGATGCATGTTTTCCTCTCTCTCTCCTCCTGTGTGGAGGTAGCTGGAGGAACGTGCTTAAAACTTCTGAAGGCAGGGGGAGTTAATGTAAACAGCCAGTATTAAATATTAAATAAGTATTTCCAGTTTTGCTCTGCCCCTGGACAGGTTTCCAGTCCAACTGCAGCTAAAAAAAGCCCTGTCCAGTCATGACTTGTATAAATTGGAGATTCCTGACTTGCCTTCAGATATGCCATATTAATCCACATCTGCTGCAAACATGGGCCAAAACACACCCTTAAATTCCCTGCTGCAGCATTTCCTTGCATGCTCATGCATAATTCATAGAAATAAGCCTCCTCTTACCCAGGTGGCCCTTGCTGGGGATTATTTTTATTTTTTTTTTCCTTTGAGACAGACAGTACTAACTGCCCTGAGAGCTGCTCTCCCCTGGAGCATCCCTGAAGGTCTCTTTTGTGCTTCCTGCCTCCGTGACAGCCCACGTTGGTCAGCTCTGGGGTGGTGATGGGAATGTAAATAAAGCTGGGGTTTTTTTTACACTGTTCATGTGCAAGAGATGTTTCCTTCCTTCTTTTTATTTTCTTTTTTTTTTTTCTTTTTTCCCTGCCACTTAGAGCATGTCTTCACTGATTATTAGTTATTTTCAGTATTTCTCGCTTTTTGGAGTACCTTGTTGGTCAGCTCTGAAAGAGCCACAATTATTTCTACATTTTCAGGAAAATAATAGTGATAGTGCAGTTTAGTTGCTCAATCTCATTGCTGTCAGAATTGCAAAAAGATTTGCTCTTTAAAAAGAAAACCATAGAAGTTGGAACTGGTTTTGCTCTTAAAAGTATTGGGAGAAGTATCACCACTCCTGCTATGTTAAATATATAAAACAGTGGAAAAGTTGACTCATTTCTTTGCAAAAAAAAAAAAAAAAAATTAAAAACGAGTAAATAAAGCATTCAGTCAAAAATTATTTTTTTAAGCAAACTTAGGCATCCCAGATATGTAAAAGCTGTCTCCTGGCTCCCAAGGACTCACAGCAACAGGGAATTACCCAACAGTTGCCCCTGTGTTCAGGCTGGGCTCTCCCCACTGTGGGCCTGGAGGATGATTACTTATTTTCAGAAAAATGCTCCTCTAAATGTAGGAAGAGAAATATAAATTGCTCATGGCTTCTCCTCCATGTACTCAGTAGATACCTTTTCAAAAGCGAAAAAAAAAATGTGGATAAAGTTTTTACGTGGCTTTGAAAGAAAATAAACCCTTAAATCTAACTGTAGTGTACAGCTTTTACCCCTTCCTGGCACATTTTAGGAACCCATATCAGTTTGCTCATAAATATCCTAAAAATGTAAGATGTTTTAATTAGAAATTATTAAATGTTCCAGGCTTAAGAAAAATAAAAGTGCTGTTTGCCACAAGGCCATTTCAAAGCTGGCATAGGAGACATCAGTAAAAAAAAACCAAAAAAAACAGAGCAAATATTTAACATTTACTTTTAAGTCTATACAGGCATTCTTATTTATTTTACCATGTGGTTACTATTAAGTGCATTGGCCTGCATCCATCCTTGCAGCAAAAAAAAATAAATAAAGCACTCCCCTGTAAGCATGCGCAGCTTTGCAGCCCTGCCAGCCCAAATATTTGGATTTTTCTGGTGGAGAGGGAGAGATTGGGGAGCTGGAGTCTGTGTTTGGCTCTGGCACAGCCTGGGACGTGCTCTGTGCCCTTCACCTCCATCCCTTTGCAGGGAATCAGCCCCAGGGAAGTGCTGGAGATGGTTTCTCCACAGGTTTTTGTTTGTTTTTATTCCCCGTGGTGATGTTTAGGATTAAAACCTTGAAGCAAACTCCCCCTTCCTCCACTCCTTCCTCATCCTCCTCCCCGCCAGCGCTCGCTCACGACTCGTGAAGTCTCTCCATCACCCCCTCTGTAAGCACTGGGGGAAAATCCTACTTTAGCCACACGTGCAAGTTCTTCTTTGCCTCCCAAGGAAGTTATTAAATAATCTTTTCTTACTTTAAAGGAAGGTTTTCGTAGGGATCTCCCCCGTGTCCTGCGGCAGACGCGGCCCCGATCCCCGTGCGGTGACGGGCGGTCCTGGTGGGGCTGTGCCCCAAATCCCTGTCAAACACAAACTCTGCACTGCCACAGGCAGCTGATTTCATGCAAGGATGCCTTGCAATACCCTCAGAAATGTTCTTTTTTTTTCCCCTCATGGACACATTCCAGTGCATGCAAAGAAGAAAAGAGTTTGCTGTGGGCTGACTCCAGATAATACAAAAATGCATTAGACACAAACTTAGATTTCCTCAATTAAACCACAGGTTGGCTATATTTAGGTCAAGGGATTGGTCAGGAAATTAAACTCATCCTTTTTTTTTTTTTTTTTCCTCCTTTATAATCTTATTGGTACATCCTAACCACATCAAAATCTAACATAATTCTCCTGTGAGTGTTAAGCCCTGTTCCTCCACGTTTCTCCTCAAAGGGGAAATAATCATGATAACAGCTGTGAGTTGATGAGTCTGAGGAAGAACTGAAATTGTGTCAAAAGGGGATAGGACAGGGACAAATGTGGAGCATTCCCTGCAGCTGTGTGCTTGGACTGGAGTTACATCCTCCTGCATCACAGGCACAGAGGAAACAGGTGCCCAGTTTTGTCCCCAACACTTTTTTCTGCAGTGAAAGGTTATTTTTGCATGATGTCTTCAAAATGCTTCTCTCTCTTTTACTCCTTGCTGTAAGGAGTCAGGATCTGAGTCAGCATGTGGAAATACCCAGGCCTGGCTCCTGGCATGGATTTTGGGTTGGGGAAGTTGTTTAAATGGCTCATGTAGAGATTTTACCTCCACCCCCCTGCCCCTCTGTCCCCCACCAAGCCCTGAGGGCATCTGTGGTCCCACAGCTGGGATGTGCAGGGATCCCCAGAGGGAAACTCCACCAGCCAACCCCAGCCTGCAGAGAGGGACTGTGCAGTAAGGAAATCCAAAGGATTTGTTGCTTTTATCTCTTTTCATCTCTGAGTTTATTAAAGTGCAAATGTCAACCATGGAGACAGCTATCACATGCAGTGCAGTACACCGAGAAACACTTTCCACACCATAAATGGAAGGAAAAAGGCTTCGTTGTGATTATCTAATGCACAAAGGACAAAACTGAACCAGGGCTCTGTGCCCTGCCATAACAGAAAGTACCACAGCCATGAACTGGAAAACAAAAACCTCTCCAGGCCCTCCCTATCTGACAAAATAGAAAATATCGAGAAGGATGAAGTGTTTATAGAGCTCAGGGGGTTTTTTTCTGAGCTTTGTGTTACTGATATGTTTGAAGAGATGCTTCTACTCAGAACTTTTTTAAGTTCAGTATGTTTTTCTTAAAATCATAAATACATAAATATTCTAAATCATAAATACTCCTTAAGAGTATGAATTTAAGAACTGCTGTGGACAAGTCCACCTCACCTCTCTCATAGGGCTGAGGTTTGTCTGCCCAAAGATGCTGGGCCACAGACACCACAGAAATCCTGGGATTCAGTTTTGCTTTGTGCTCTAAAAGAAAAAAAAAAAACAAAACAAATGCATTGAGGTACAAACCACGTGAATATAACATGATACAGAACACATGAACATGCTTTCATCAACAAGAATAAATATTACCATGGCTACAGGGTCTACTTCACAGCTTTGTGAGATGAGGATAAATAAACTATTTCCAAACTCAAAAAAAAAAATAAATCAGAGATGAGTCTTACAAATAAACTTTGACTTTTTAAATTAAGGCAGCTTCAGCAGGAACTTCAAGGCTTTTGTTGGAAACAGACTTTTCCTAACACCAGAAGTGTACTCGTGCTTGCAGGTAGAGCTCTGATTCACAGTCCAGTTCTCCTAATTTTGAAGATTGAAACGAGCAAGGATCTGTGCATGGAATACCAGGAGTGCTCTCTGCAAAAGTCAGTGTTCCATCAGGAGGTGTCATGTGGGAACTCTGAAACCCAGTTCATCTCTCGGGCATGGGAGTGAGGTACCTCTGGCTGAATCGTTAGCTCCGTGGCCGGGAGGCAGACTGGGAATTCAGAATTACAAGAAGCTGTTGGTTTTTTCTTTCTTTTTTTTTCATAAGTGAATGATGAAAAAGGGATATAAAAGGGGAGGGCTGAGGAAGCCAAAGGAAAGCACTAAATGAAAAGCCCATACCAAAGTAAGACCTTAAGAAAGGTGACTCTAGTAAGGTACATCATCCACCTGGAACAAAACCAGATCCTAAAACTTTCCAGGAAAGAAACAGCAGGAGCTGGAGCGGGGATTGGTTTGGCTCATCCAGATGTGCGATTCTTCTTCCCCCTCTCCTCTCAGCTAATAAAAGGGTGAAGCCAAATAATTGCACAACAAATGGTACTTCAAGTATTTAGAAACACGGCCTGCATGTCTCAGAGGGGGGATCCTGCATGGGCTGGGGAAATTGTGCACCTCGTGAAACAAAGCTGCCACTTGCAGCGGTCCCAACGCGCAGCCAAGGCACGAGTTCATGTCCTGCACACAGCTCCCTCCTCCTCCTGCAGGGCTGCACGCTGGCAGGAAAGAGCAGTGAAATGAAAAGGAGCAGACAGAAGGGTTATTTTGTTCAAACCTCATCTATTCCAACACGAATGCCACCACAGCCACACGTAAGAACGTACACACGACACGCACTAACCAGCCGGTTCACGTCTTCACAACACTGCAGATATATTCCCCTGTGCTTGTACACACCTCATGAAATGCTGAACTGGACACACAGCTGAAGATGAGTTTCTGACCCGTTCAAGTAAAGGAGAAAAAAAAAAAAAAATCCTGCTGCCTTTACCTGCTCAGCTGCAGCTCCTGAAATTAAACCTACCCCAAACCCCAGCTGGCACCAGGGCTTTGGCCAGGGGGGTGGAAGGGCAGCATTCTCACAGCTCCTGGTGCCACTTCCCCTCCCATCCCTGGCCAAGGCCATGCCCAGCCTGGTGGGGTCAGCTAAGCTACTCAGGGGCTTTACCTAAAAGAGGGTGTAAAAACAGCATCCCCTTTGTCCAGGTCCTCTCAGAGGCTGGGATTAGTGAGTGGTGGCAGTGCCCAGGGCACACCTGCCCTGCTGGAAGAATAAAGCTGAGAGGTCAAAGACAGGGATGCCACCTACATTTTATATATATGCATGTGTGCATATATAATATTTACATATATATAGCTTCCAACAAGAACAGCACAAGGTATTTCTGAATTAACTCATCCAGGAGCTGGAGGTTTCTGTTGGAGCCTATCTCAACTCTTTATCCTTTGCGTTTTGTCTCTCTCCCCCTTGGGCTGAAGCAAAATTTGGGTGAGTTTGTGGCTTGCAAAGCACAGCTGTCCAGTGGCTTCTGAAGAATTGCACTTGGAGTAATTCAAGTTTCTGTAGTTCAAATATTGTCTACCCTGCTTTTCTCGACGCTTGTGCATGTACCAGCATAACTCAAAAAGAGCTGACCACAGTGTAACAGTGTGAAAGTTAAACTCTTCCCCTGGAAAATATAATGAGGTCAGCAGCTCCTCTGCAGCTGGGAAGCAGAACACAGCCTACCTATTTGAAGGTAAAATAAATAATAAAAAGGAGTGAAAGTCCTCAGAGTATTTCAGAGTGCAGCACGGATTTGGGTAAGGCTGTGATGGACCCTTCAATCCGATGTGGTCGCTGAGGAGGTGCTTGCACCAGTCCTGCTCCCTCTGCTGCCTCTGCTGACCCTGAGCTTCATCTAAGTGCTTCATCCCTTTGTGTCTGTCCATAGGGAAAGCTGAGTAACTCCAGGCAGGACTGGTTTTGCAGATCCACACAGCAGTTAATGCTTGCACGGGTCTGAGAATCTGCCAAGTGCCACAAGGGACTGATTCTACCAACCTCAAAATCCCACCCGCCTCCAGGAAGCAAATATTTCCTCCCAAGGGCATTTGCTGCTGCTTAATACTATTAGCTCTGCTGGGAAGGAAATCCCAGAGGAGAAGGGTAAATTTAAAAAAAGACAATCAGTACATCTACCTGCTCCTGAGCCCCAGACTGTAACACCCCAGCCCCTTAGCAAGGGGGCTACAGGTGATGCCAGGATTTGGCAAGATGCTCAGCTGGGAGTAAAGATTTGAAAAGCCTTTAACATTTCCAACACATTTCACTCATTGCTCTTTCCTGGATGGAAATCAATGCCTGGCCCTACACCTGCTCCTTTGCAAAGGGATTTATCTCCATCACCCCAAAACCATTCAGGGCTCTTTGCTCATCTCAGCCTTGATCCAAAAGCTGCTGAAGGGCTGGGTGCTCCTCAGCTTTGACTCTGGGGTGGGGTTTGTATTTATTTATTATTATTTTTCTTTTGCATGCAGGAGTTTGGATTCTCCATCCAAACTCACACCACAGCACTGGGGCGACACAAATCACCTGGCAGTCACCAGGCACAGCACCAAAGCCATCCTCCACCCCAGAGGATTTATTTAATAGTCATAATATAATAAAAGGCTCATTACAAAACCTAGGAGCACTACAAATATTTCCAGTATTTCTTTTAAAAACAGAGCTGTTCTGCTGTGGGCTTACAGTCCAACCACTGCTGTGTTGGATTTAGTGTTCAAGAGCTTAACAGCAAAACTGACTATTTTTTATTTTTTTTTCTTTTTTTTTTTTTTTTTTGTGTCAGCTTTCTACTTTTCTACTTTGTGCGGCTTCTGGAAAAACTGGAGCTCTAAAGTCACATTAGTGAGGATCCAAGCACAATCTGTAACAAAAGTAAGGCAATTTTGTGGTTCTTTTTTAAAAAAAAAGGGACTTCAAGCTGAAAAGGTCCATTTAACTGCCAGTAGATGGCAAAAATATCCTGTGTTTGTCTTGATTACCTTAAATAATTAGTAAAAAAGGCTTAATGTGTTCTCTTCCTTGCTTCTCAAAAAAACTTGCAGAAAGTATAAATTAAAGTGCAACTGTACAAAAAGAAACCCCCAAAACCTAGGAAAAAACCTCAAGGGGTCATAAGAAGCTATCAAAAAGACAGATGAATTTTTTTCTCAAGTTGAATGACTGCATACCTGGGACCAGCAAAAGTTCTTTGCTTTGTTTCTTGAAAAACCAAACCCCCCCCACCCAGGATTTTTTTGGCAAAGCTCTCATAAAGCATTTGTTCCTTGATTAGACTATTACTTCATAATCAAGTAAATGGAATTAAATACCATGTCAAAGCCAAGCAGATGCCAATGCTGCCCATTAGATTAATCCCGTGTAATAAAAAATAATAACTCTTTAAAACAAAGAAGTCACACATGCATTGGGTTTTACCCTTGGGTAACAAGAATTTAACCTTAAAAATCCCTGCTGTTTGTCTTAAAAATTAAAATCCCATCCTTCAGGTAGCCAGTAGCAAAGGAACAGTAAAATTCCGGGTTGGGATATCCCTGCCTGGTCAGCGGCGTGGCGAAGGTCACGGTCCAGTGGGCAGCAGCAGGAGAGGAGAGCCCTTGGGCAGGAGCAGTGAGTGTCCAGCAGCAGGAAAGGCAGATTTGGCAGTGATTTTGGGGAGGTGACAACAGGCAGAGCTTCCTAGGGGAGAGGTGAGAGCTCCGGAGCTGCTGATGGCTCCTGCCCGGCAGGGACGATGCCAGCCCTCGGGTGAAGCACTGGGTTGTCAGGTGGGTGACCCAGATCCTGTCCTCTGCTCACCTGAACCCTGCTTGGGGTCCAGGTGGAGCCCGTGGTGAGGCAGGGGAGGGGGAGCAGGCTGGAGGGAGGATTAAGGGCTGGGGAAAAGGCAATCTGCCTTCGGCTCTGAGCGTGGCGAGCGGGCCAGCGCTGTCCGGAGCTCTCGGGAGGAAATGAAGCACCTTAGGGACGCTCCTCTGCAAAGGCTGGACATGGGGAGGCCTCCCCATGGCAGCTTTGCAGCAGGACCTTTGCACATCCCACCTTCCCTCCCCATCTTTAGCAGAGGGGAAAAAGAGAGGGGAGGGAGGTCATATTGCACTAGTGCAGAAGCATCTAAGCAGCTGCTGCTTTGGGGAGAAAAGTGTTAAGGGAGGCTGGTACCTGGGTGTGAACAGAGCTGCTTCATCACCCTCCATTCCACAGAGCTCCTGGTCAGCCCCTCCACCCTGGCTCAGCCCATCCTGCCCCTACATCAAACTCCCTGCAGGAAGCTTGGCTATGCCTCCATTTCCTCAGGGAGAACCAGGGGGGAGAAGTTTTCCAAAAACTCCGTGATACGTTTGTTAGGTTACAGCCTCGACACTCCCCATGGGCTTCACGAGGAAAGAAAACCAAAGGGGTATTGGATACATTTTGCCAGGCACAAGGAGAGGAAATGAAGTTAATTTCCTTGGTGCCTCGCTAGAGGGAAGCATGTTTTGGGTCTGGACTCGGCAGTGTGGGGAGGAGGAGGAAGAACAAGGGAGCAAAAGAAAGGAGGCGCGGACGAGTCGGCGCAGATCCTCACGGCGCGCAGAGGGGCCGGTGCCATCAGCGGGCCAGGGCCATGATGAGGCTGGCACACATCTCAAAGAAGTCCATGGTGTGGCTGCCCAGGCGTGGGGGCACCGAGGGGATGCTGCCCACCAAGGAGCCGCTCAGGGAGCCCATCAGAGACTGGCACTCGCCGGCCGCGGCCGCGTCGATGCTCAGGCGCGGCCGGTGCAAGCCTGCGGCCGAGCAGGAGCGCTGGGGCGTGGAGGAGCCAGACCTCTGCTCCATCACCTCGTCTTGAAAAGCCAAAAAAAAAAAGGAAGAAAAGAGAAAAAGCGTGGTAAGGAAACGGGAACAGCAGCAGAGATGAATGGCTTGAAAGTGCTTCCGCTGAAACGACACACGCATAAAGCTTCAAAATGCTGAGGATGGCTCTAAAACACCCAGCCTTGCCCTTCCACGTGTTCTCCATCTCCTACTCACCATCGATGCTTTTGAAGTCCAGCAGGTAGCTGCGGTTGTCCACCTGGTAGAGCTGCAGGCTCATCTTCACGTAGTTGCCGGTGACGGGGTTCTTGCGGCGCACCCGCAGGTGGTAGGCGTTCACCACCTGCAAGGGGAAACCTGCCCTCAGCAGGGACACTCCAGGCAGCAAGGGGAACACTTCTTTCCTTGTTTTTTCTGAATTTGAGCAAGACATCTTCTGGGAAAAACGGTTTCTCAAAAGGACAACGCCTAAAAAATGAAGCAAGTGGCTTCATTTCCTCCTATCTTTAAATATTCTTATTAAGGTTCTGATTCACCAGAATCAGGCTGAGGAAGCTGCAGTGACCCACCTGCCAGGCACAAAACCGATCTTTGCTCCTCCCTCACCAGCAGCCACGGCCACATGAACCAAAAAGTCCACTCATGGACCCACCTACACGGACAGTGTTCATGAAATCAGAGCCAGCTGGGCAGAGCAGCCTCTCCCACCAGCACAGTTAAACCCAGTGCTGGTGGATCAGCCTCATGCTGAGTGTTTCCCTCACTGCTTCCCACCTTCACAATCTGCTGCATCTCATTTACAATGAGATCTCTTCTCTGAGCTATATTTATGAAGCAACTGCGTGGATGGGAGAGGTAATTCTGAAGAAGAGTCACATCTGAAGTTATTCTTAGGGAAGGCTATTGTGAAACCTCCTCGTATGGAATCAGCTCCACTGCCTACACAGAGATGTTGGGCTGAGTTGGTTTGTGAGGCTGTAGCAGAAATACACTCCCTGTACAAGCATGCAGCTAAAAAATGTCTGGCTGGTGTTGGCTAGTGGTTCATCTCCTGCCTGGTGCAGGGAAATCTGATTTCTGGAAGCTACTTGGCCTTAAAAACATAATAATATCAAAAACAAGGAGGAGTCCAGAGGTTTCAAAGAAGCAGCACAGTGAAATTCACACAGAACGATGCTTGGGACCTGGAGGGAGGAGGGGAGCTCCTCTGGTGATGAAGATCTGGGCTGAAATTCTCCTTACCTGGCTCCCAATGCTCACATGATGCTGCTGCCAAAGGCCACGAGCCAGGAGAGCTCACCCCAGGGGCTGCACCAGGATCTGGGGAGTCAGGCACAGCAGCAGAGATCTAGGGCTAATTTAGGGATTTATTGTTCCAGCTTTGAAAAGGACTGCGACTAAATACCTGCAGTGAGTACTGACAACTAAAACATCTGGGTTTAGATCAAGAAGCTGAGCCCTAAATTGAGGAAGCAATAAGTGTCTGGAAACACATCACTGTGAGCACTGCTCCATCAAGGAAAAGGCCACCACATCAATGATACAAATCCTGCATCCAAGGGCCCCTGCTCCTCCTCTGTGCATCCTCCAGGACAATTCCTACTGTGCCATTTCAGTCCTGACAGGACCAGGCAGAAATAATGGGAGTCCCTTTGCTCAGGAGCACTTGAGATGACCTCACAGGGAATTAGCCACTAAAATTAGAAATGTGAACAGCTCCTCTTATCCCTGCAGCTAAAGGAGGCAGAATCATCTTTCCAGCTGAAGTCTTGAAAACCCTTCTTTCACGCCATAAATAAACACCACAGACACTGAGGCACAGCTGGCACCTTAATTCAGTGAGTTTGCCTTAACAAGGAATAGCAGGGATGACTGCAAGGTGGGGGCATTTATCTGGACACAGGTGAGGCTGTAACCACACTTCCAAACCCCCCTGAGTTTATGGGATAAAGGATGCTGGAAACCAGCACTCCCTACCTTCCACTCAAAGTCCAGCTGCTTCATAGCCCGGTACACCTCGGCCATAATGTCATAGGGCTTGCTCTGGCTGCGGATCCCCAGGTGCCACTTGGCCTTTTTGACAGTCAGGGGCTTTGGCTTGGTGGTGTTGAGGGCGTCCAGGGGACAGCGGGCTTTGGGGCTGTCGGCGATGAGCGGCGGCATCCGCTCGGGGTGCGGCTTCACGCCCGGAGGGATGTGCAGGGAGCTGTCGTCCATGAAGGAGCCGGTGGGGGGGCTGGAGGCCAGGTAGAACTCGCTGGCCTGGTTCATGATGCGGCGGTTGTCGATGACCAGGTGGTAGGCCACGGCCAGCTGGTCCTGGGGGTCGCCGCTGTACAGGCTGTTCATCACCTCCGACTCCGTGCACTCGAACTTCTCGCACACCTCCCGCACCGCCTCGTCGTCGATCACCGTGGCGTCGTAGGACGGGTCCTCTGGGAACAGGTAACTGGGCAGCTCCTCCTTGAACCACTCGTGTTCCCTGGGGAAGGCAGAGGGGAGCTCCTGTGAGGGGCAGGATGGGGAAACAAGCCAGGAATAAACCCTGGCTGATGAACCGGGAGCAAAACCCGGCCCGGCAGGGACAGCGATGGCACAATGCACGCTGGGCTTTGAAGTAAGACCTCAGCACTTCCAATATTCTCACACTTCAGGATTCCCATTGTCTGATGGAGATACAGAGCACCAAACCTCTGCAATTCCCACCAATTTACAGTGAGGTGAATGATAATTAGGGGTCTAAAACCCATCCGGTGCCTTGTCTATGGGTTCTGTGTGTTGACAGTAATCTCACCACGTGTGCTGCCTCTCCAACATGTAATTAAATCCTCTAATCCTAAGGAATTAAGAAATAAAAAAGGAAGATTGCATGGGTTGACTTGAAAGGTAAAATTAAGGCTGTCCACTGAAAATGCATTAAAAACCTGAGAATTCCTGGAAGCTGTAGTAACATTTATGTTTAAGCTTAGCACCAGCTAGGTGTAATACATCCAATATTTACATATTAAGTTACTAATTCTTTGGTTTCTCCTCCTTTTCTTTTGGACATACAGCAAGTACAATGATTACCCTCTATCTGGTACCCAAAGGGACGTGGTCTTGAAATAAAGTAATGAAAAATGGCTGTGGGACATTCAATTCCTGGGATTATTGCATGCTATAGCTTGGTTTCGTTAAGTGCTATTAGAAGATTTTTAAGGCTATTTCATAATGCAGTAAAACAGAATTTTAAATATTTGTATATTATAAATGTATAATATATTATATATTATATAATATACATAATATATAATATATTATATATAATATGTATTATAATATATAATTATGTATTGTATAATATATATTATATATAATATATAATTATATATTATATATATTATTTTTATATATATATATATATAAAATATCTTCATCCTGGTCTTCATCACGCACCTCCAGCCAGCACAGAAGGGATGCAGGGCTGCTCCTTGAATCACTTGGGCCAAAAACCATCTGGATTAGCTGACTACCCCTGAAAACCACCCTGCCAGCAGGTGACCCCCAGAGGCAGCCCCAGCCCTCCCCAGCCCACCTGAGCTGACCTGATGTCCTTGATGGTGGCTCTCTTGAGGGGGTCCACCTGCAGCATGTGCATGAGGAGCGTGGCCACGGAGCGGTTCAGGTATTCAGGGATGTAAAACACTCCCCCACGGATCTTCTTGAACAGGGTGGGGACGTGCTCGTCGTCAAAAGGCAGAGTGCCACACAGGAGGGCGTAGAGGATGACACCACAGCTCCAGATGTCCACCTCTGGGCCAGCATAGAGCCTGCACGAGGACAAGGCCAGGAGAAAGCTGTCACCCCACCCTCTCCTCAAGTCAGGCTGCAGGGCTGGAACCTCCTGCCAGCTCCAGCAGGGACAGAGCTCCAGCCCACACCAGGGCTGCTCACCTGGCTCCCCCAAAACCAGATCTGCCTCAGCCAAGGCTGCTCAGGGAAATGCAAGGCAGGGCTGGCACTGGCTGCCCACACTCCTGTGTACAACCCTGCCTGCACCAAACTCTCCAAAAAGCCCCACACTTCCAAGAGCCCTGCCTGGCTGTTTGCTCCTTTGCCCCGAGGGCTCAGCCAGAAATTTCTGTTCATTGAAGGAAGCAGATCAAACAGCAACAGATAATTCTATCTCTGAGTGCTTATTTTTGGTGCTGGTATTTAAGTGCTCCTGAATCCAACAAGCTGCCAAATGTGCTCTCTGCCATCACCAACTCAGGACACCCCAAACATACAGTTTTTCTGCTCCTGTTCATCTCTTTTTGCTACAACTGATGCCTCCCCAGAGATTTTGGGAGGCAACACTCTCCCTTGGGCATTGAGGCCCAACCAAAATACAGAAGTTGAAACACAACTACAGAAGTCTCTTCATGAAACCCCAGCATCCCGCACTTGCTCCTCCTGAAAAGCATCACTACAGAGATATCAGTGCAGAAATCATGCTGGTCACGCATGTGACCATTCTCTGAACACCCCAAAACACTTGGTCTGCCTGTCCAGGGGTGAGACTTTGCCTGCTGAGGCCGGGGATGGCAGCAGAGCCATTCTGGAGGGGCAGAGGATCAGCTGGATGCCCCCTCAGCCCTGCCTCCATGCCCAGCTCCCACAGACCAGAAGCTTGATTCTTTTGCTGATAAGTGCACTGCCTGAACAGTCTTTTGGACCTTTAATCCCAAATGAGATGCACTTTTACAGCTCTGAAACCTGAGCTGTCAGGCTCTACTGCTTTTGAGCTCTAGCAGGGAAGGCAGCAGGAGCCAGGGGTCAGCTCCCCCTGCTCCACACAGCCAGCAGCAGGGCAGGGAGGGTGCACTGTGCCTGTCCCCCTCAAATGCAGCTCTCACACAGCTCTGAGAAGAGGCCAGCTTGGCACACTGAGCATGAAACTCAGGTAGCCCTGAGCCTGTAGGTGGGAGTGATGAGGGAGGGATGCAGCTGCAGCCAGCAAAAAAGTGCAGCACATGGGCTTGGTTTTGGTTTTCCCTCTTTTGTTGTTACTAAGCTGCCTTCCCTGTACCCTTGGAACACTCAGATGGGCTAAATCCTTCCTGCTGATCTGCCATGTGCCTTGTCTCCTATAGAAATTGAAAAACATGTGTCTGGCCTTCACTGAGATGGAAATCCTAGTGATATTTCTTTGGAATCCCAGTAGTTTCTGGCTTTGTCCCTTTCTTGACAATGAGGATTTTCACTTGTTTCACTTCACTTCGTTTCACACACACAGAGCTGTAGTCACAACAGGGTTTTTGGATGCTAGTCTAATTCCTAGGATGCTCTGCCAATGCTTGCTCTGGTGCAAACAGGGATAAAATAATCATAATCACAGCAAACATGTTCTGAACAAAATGTTCTATTTAAAAGCTACAGATATAGGCAAAAAGACACTGGATTAGGAAAAGTAAAGCTTGTGGCAAAGGGAGATTCAAAAAAAAAAAGGGGTAGATAATGAGATGGGCAGTTTGAAGGACCATTCAGAGGACTGAAAATTTGAAAATCTAGGTTTGCAATCTTTGCTAAGGTATTACAGAGAATTAGGGAAAAATGTACATGCTATGTAATTTCTGTTCCTGACAGCAAAATACAGGAGGCAACACCTCTGTATCAACACATGGAAATCCAGTTCAGCCTTGTGGGGTGTGTTCAACACTCCATGTGCTGTACAGATGTTCCATGCTGAGAGATGCAGCCACAGAAGAGGTTTGTCAATTCAATGAATCAGTTCAAAACAAAGCTCTGAAGGTTGAACCTACTGCCATACCCCAAGCTTAAGGAACCAGAAGACAAGTATTTTCATTACAAGTGTTGGGAAGTGATTAAATATCCTCCTGGTTCTTTTGTTAGTGAATGGTTTTCCTCATTAACACTGTGTTTTATATTACAGGTGGGCAGGAGAGGAGGAGGTGACCTGGAAAAGCCTTTCCACCTGGAACCTCAGCATTTGCATCCAAAGAGTCATTTTCACCCTCTTTAATTTGCAATATAAACAGTCAACATCTGGCATTAATAATTCCTCCAAAGTAAACACCTGTAGCAAAACACTGTTTGCTATTACAGCTATTGAGAAGTAAAATAACCAAGAAAACCTTCAGATCTTTGCCAACAGATTCACCCAAACACAACACCCAGGTTGGAAGGATTCAGTTGCTTTTACGAGATGTGCAAAGCTGTTTCCAATACCAAGAACAAATTTGAAGTCCACGTGCTCACGCAGACTCTTGATAAGAAATGGAATGTCTTACCTTCCAGAGATGACTTCAGGGGCTGCATAATTTGGGGAACCACAGCTGGTGCGGAGAAATTCACCATCTGACATCATGTTGGACAGTCCTAAAAACAAAATGCTTATTATACACTGATTTTTGATCTGAAGGTCCAGACCTGAGGACCCCGTGTCACACAGAGGAAAAGCAAGGAAGTGGAGTGGAATATTTGGGAGGAAACTGTTGATATAATTTAGATAGATTTCTCTGAATCGATTTGAAAGTTTTTACTTTTGTTATTATTGTTGTTGTTGTTTGTTATTTTTGTTGGTTTGTTATAATATTGAAATATTCACTCCAGGCTAATTTTGTTCCTCTGAGTTGCAATTCAGAGCACAGAGGAGAAGAGACACAATTCATCCCAGAGCACTTACTTCACATGGCAATTGGGTGGGACTGTGGAACGAGAAAATCTTCAGAAGGATTTACATCACCAGAAAGGACTCACCAGGACAGAGTTGGTAGCCCAGGTATTTTAATGGATTTCAACCCCTAATGCCACTTAGAGACTCCTGTTTCTGCTCATTGTAAAATGAGCTGAGGCCAAGAGCACATGGCCAAACAGAGGGAGAACATGCACGAAAATAAACACACACAGCCAGCTCACCCTGAGCAGGCTGCACCGAGCCTGCCTCAAACAGAAATTAGGGAAATTTTACATCGGGTGATTACACTGAAACACAGCAGAGATTTACAAAATGCTTGGCTGCTCCACTCTCAGTGCCAGTACAGGAGCAGCCTGCACCCAGTAATCCCTGCTGCAGCAGGAAGGGCAGTGTTTATAAGTGTGGGATTTCCAGGTGGAGCAGCAGGCTCTGGGTTTTGTGCGGCCACGCTCCGGCGGCGCTGGCTGCGCCTCTGGAATGCTGCTGGGGTCACATACCAAAATCAGCTATCTTGGCATTCATGTGTGCATCCAGCAGCACGTTCTCTGGCTTCAGGTCCCTGTGCACAACCATGTGCCTGTGGCAGTAATCCACTGCCGACAGGATCTGCTGGAAAAGGCGTCGAGCTTCTGCCTCCTCGACCTGTGGGAACAGCGGAGGGAACAGCGCTGGGGGCTGGGGTGCACGCAGAGCTGGCAGGGGAAGGTTTGACTTAGCAAGGAGCCAAAAAGCTTCCAGAGTTCAGAGAGAAAATCCCAGTGTGCCTGCCACCAGAAGCAGCAAATAAAGCAGATTTCTCACCCTTATGTTTTACAGTGTGCCAGTGTTTGAAAATGATACAGCCCAGAGAGGAAGGGTGAGACCTCGGTTTAGCTGAGATGTCAACAAGAATTTAAAGGTGGCACCTATCAGCCTGCTGTCCCAATGGGACTGGTACAGACCCAGGCTGGACAAAACACCACAGAGGATATTGCTGGGAGCAATTCCTCATGGATTTCCTCTGGAAGCAATGGGTGAAGCTGAATATCATTTTGATTTTAATTACCTGTGTAACTATAAAGCTGTATGAGCTATATCAGAGAAGCTAAATTTTAAATTATTATTTTTACTGATGAATTCCAAAAGACTCCCTTCATGAAAAGCTGAGTTTATGAAAGCAGAAGTTCAGAAAAGATCTGAATCAGTCACTGAAAAGATCTAGGCAGGTAAAATGTGTGAGAAATCAGAACTGTACATACAAAACTGAGTCAGCTCCATTGACCACTACACTAATCTAACCCAAATTGTTGTAAATGTATTAATTTGGTGGCACAGAGAAGGAATGTGTGAGGGGCTGATCCTTCACCTGATCCCTTATTCTGGATATCCACTTTGGCCCATTTTTAGCTCCTTGCCCTGCAACTGCTCCACGGGGCAGACACCAGCGATTTTCCTTGTAACCAAAACCTCACATTTCACAGGCTCAACCCACACCTCAGGTGATTTATACCCAGTGGGACTGCTGCCACTTGAAAATTTTGTTCAGCTAAGCCACATCCTTGAAAAGTCTTCAAAGAACCCAACATGGAACCAAGAGGGGGGTCTGGGAGAGGTGAATGATTGGGGCAGAGACCACACCAAGTGGTCTTCCACTCCAATGCCACAGATTTGCTGCTGATCCATGGGGGTTTTGACAGGCAACCATAGGTAAAAATCACAAAAATGAGCCAGTTTTCCAAACATTTGCCCTAAGCAACATGCTACCTTGGCTATTTTGGTTTGAGGGCCGAAAATACACCAGAGAACGCTGCGAAAAATCACACACAAGTTTCATGTGAGCCGGTACGAGACACCCCAGATGAGGAGGCTGTGAAGCAACTTCTATTTTGGGCTTTAACCTTAACTGTGCTCCCTTGAGCAGTCATTCTGCTCCTGAACACCATCCTCCTTCCCACCCCAGTGAGAAGTCTGGGACTGGCACTTACACGTCCGTGCTTACAGATGTAATCAAACAATTCCCCGCCGGACACGTATTCCATGACCATGAAGAAGTCTGTTGGTGTGCTGATGACCTGGTACCTTCAAAAACACAAGCAGATTTAGAAAAAACATGTAATTAAGAGCTGGGAAAGGCTTTTAAACAGATTGCTAATTCCACATCAACACTTCAAATAAGAATTTGTTTGGACCTTGCGTTTGTAAATGCTTTCCACTTCTGAAAAGGCGTCTCTTGTTTCCAGTATAATCTTTCACTTGTCTGTGAAAGGACCTCTTTTCCAGATCTATGATCTTCCTTCAGCCCTTTAAATAATCCTCTGAAATATCTGCCAGGCAATCTTATCACATTTAGGACTGCCCTGACTTTCAAATTTCCATTTGGGGTAGAAATGAAGTCCTGGTTAGCTGGGGGCAAGGAGAGGATCCATCTGGTTTCCCTCATAGCAAGAAAAAAGAAGATAAAGAGCTCTAGGCACTAGAGAGAGCTCCCTCTGGACAGGTACAGAAACGAAAAGGAGACCCTCTAAAGTTATTTTTCAAATATTAAATCTCTCTAGAACGGGAGGAAAATCCTTCTAGAATGGGGGGGCAGAACCCAGAGTATCACTTTCAGTTTGAAGATTTATTCTTCATTTTCCTTCAAAATGATCCCTGAGTGCTGCAAAGTGTCCCAACTGGAATAAATTGCAAGTGATCAGCTGAGGTCAATGCAGCCCCAGGAATTCACAGCAGCACCAGCTGGGACCTCCCTCTCTTTTATTTCAGATTCATTGTTTTGTTGTTGTTTGCTTTGGGTTTTTTTTGTTTTTGTTTTTTTTTTTAATTCATTTTTGCATTTGAATTTCATGAATTTTTACAGGGCTGTAATTTGAAACAAACAGATTTCAGCAATTTTCAGAGGCTGGCAAGGGAATGTGGGATACTCCCATAAAGATCAATAGCATCAGCCTCATTTTTCTGAAGAGCTTTGGACCCAGACATCTAAGTCACTGTTAATTGCCCCAATATTTCTTTTATATACATTTAAAACCTTATTGAAAGAGGTGTGTGTGCCCCAGTCTCCTCACATCTTTATCACTGTATTTCACGAATGCAACATGTATCACAGGACACAGATATTGTCAAACTGGATTTAGTTTTTATGGCTTTGACAAATGTGCAAACAGGATCTGACTTGCAGGATGCTGGGCACAGAGCTGAGGAGCCTTGCTGGCGCTTTTTTCATGAAATAATACCAATCTGTTCTCCAATAAATCCATGGAACTGTGAAGTTACTCTAAAATCAACAGTTGCTGCATGGTTAGTTATTTAACTGCAGAGAGAATTTGTTTTCCCTTGCCTCTAAGTCCCAGGTATTTGCTATATCTCATGCCAGTTTTAAGGCTGACCTAAATGTCAACTTACCCTTGCAGTTACCATTCAACAGCTTTCTTTTATAGGAATGCCAAAGATATTATCAAGTGCCCCATTAATGTGGGCTGGCTGCACAAGCTGGGGATTGAGCAGGAATCCCAGAGGCTGCAGTGCAGGTGCTGATTTACAGCCCCAACTCAGGTTCATCAAAGTGGTGACTTTCAAAACTTATGTCTGAATAATAAATTTTGACAAAAAAAAAAAAAAGTGTTCTTTTAAGCTCTGGGTAATCAGTCCATTAAAACATAAATCCTACTCACTGGAGGCCAAGGTTGCACTCTCAGAGCCTGACCGTGCTGCAGTTTGTGGAATCACAGAATGGTTTGGCTTGGAAGGGACATTAAAGATCATCCAATTCCAACCCCTGGCATGGGCAGGGACACCTTCCACCATCCCACGTTGTTTAAAGACCCATCCAACCTCGCCTTGAGCGCTTCCAAGGACTGGGAAGCACAGCTTCTCTGGAAAACCTGTGCCAGTGGAACATCTGGCACGCAAAAACTTGACCAAACACATCTTTCACAGCTGTGATCCATCTCCTGGAAGGCAGGTAACTGTGTAAGAGAGGTCTTTGTGCACAGAGCAGCAGCTGGACACGTGGCAGGGAGGATACTCACAGCTTGATAATGTGAGGGTGCCGGAAGAGCTTCAGGTTCTGAATTTCTCGCTTGATCTTCCCCACCACATCCAGGCTGCGGATTTTCTGCCTGTTCAGTATTTTCACTGCTACTTTGTGCCCTGTCAGCTGGTGTTCACCAACTATTAGAGAGAGAGAGAGCATTGCAAAGTCACTAAACGGTGCAGCAGGGGTCACACAAGCAGCTTAGGGGGCTATAAGCAAAAAAGCCACGTCTGAAGGGAAAAAAAACAGAAGATGAGGGTGTGAAATATTTCAAAGTTTTTGTCTCTTCACTGTTTTCCCAGTGGAGTCATAGAAGGCAGAAAAGAGGGGACTTATCTGCCAAAACCACTCCACTAAATAAAACAGAGTGAGTTGCTGGAGGAGGTCATATCCCGAGCTAATTTGCAAGGATTTATAGCATGTAAAAGCTAGATTAATCAGAAACAGATATATTTAAATGGCAGAGGAGAATCTCCACCACAACACACTGGTAGACAAAATCCCTCATAAGCCTAGTCTTAAAACTAGACCATCACACTTCTTTTTTAAAAAAATGGTGTGGGGATTTTCCCTGCCCAAAATAGGACTGTGGGATTTGCATTACTAAAATGAATTTCTATTTATACTTCCTCCAGCATGCTTCTTGCTTTGATGACAAGCTGCAGGAACACTGCTGGACTGCAGGAGCAAATTCTGCTTTTAGGAAAGATGGAAACTTCAACATGGCTTTTTTTTTTAAAAAAATGCACTTGGTGCATTGAGGTGCTGATGTTTATCTCCTGAGTTCAGGGAAAAACCATAACCATAAACTGGGAGGAGCAGCCCCACTGTCACTGGGGAAATTGTATTTAATGATGTGAAACAAATTCAGCGTGGGATCCATTTGTTATCAATAAACAGACCACACAAAAACCAAAAAGCTCCTAGGAAGCAAGATTTATATTGAAACTGAGAGCAGGAAGAGCCTGAAAACGGGGTGTTTATACCCAAAAAGGGTTCTCAGAGCAAGCTGCCCCTCCTCAGTATTTTCTAATGTGATATTCAACAGGGTGACACACAGATGGTTTCCTAAAGCCTGCAGAGGAAAACCTGCTTACAGTAAATATTTGTGCTCTCTAATTACCAACGTCACCCTTCCAGCAAAAACACGCGGTGCGAGGAGTTAATTACTGCGAGCAAACCTTGCTATTACATTATTAGAGCCTGTAATTTTGGCAGCCCTAATGAGCTGATCAGAAGCACCCAGGGTAAGCAGGAGGCGTGAGAAGGGCAGGGCAGCAGCACTCAGGGCACACCAGGTCACTATTATTAGCCACCAGATAAGACCTGCCAGAGATTCTTTCCTCAATAAGAGCATCCTAAAAATAAAACACTTTACTGCCCTTGAAAATTAAAGCACCACTTTGCATGTCCATTTTATTCCTCGTAATACTTAAAACTACGAGATGATGGAATGAAAATAAACTCAGCTTTGCAGCAGAGATGCAATTTAGGGATTAGCTGAGGGCTGGAGGAGGCAGATAATTCCTCTGGTGCAGTGCAAGGAGAGGGCTGTAAATAGTCCAGGGAGGCATTTTCCCTGGTGAATCCTTGGGGAGAGGAGAGCAGGGCAGTGAAGCAAAATTTTTTCACTGAACTAGGAGAAAAACCCTGATTTCTGCCACCCTTTGCTTCAGGACAACGCTTTCTGGCCTTGCCTCAGCATATACTTTGAAAAATTTTTATTGTACACTAGGGGGAAAAAAAAAAAAATGGCCATGCCCAGGATGAATAATTATTGTTTTTAATACTATTGCCAAATAGTTCATCCCCTTTCCCATCCGTGACAAACAATGTGTAACTCTGCGAAGGTTTGCTAGCACAAACACATTAATAATTAAAAATAAACAGCCTATTTTGTAATCCATCTTTTGCTTACAGTAAGCATTAGATACAGAGATATTATTGTTTCTGTCCCCAGTGACTTGTTAAGCCTCCTTGAACTCGGTGAGAGAGAGACAAAGAGGGAACACAACTTCCTATGTGGTGGGAGACTTTTAAGCCTTTGAGGGCCCTCTGGAGCTGCAGGAATTTAGGCATGGGCAGAAAGGACAACCCTCCCTCAGCTCACAGAACCTTGTCTCTGAACCCCAGCATCATCTCAGGAGGGAGGAGCAGGTCCCAGGTCTCCCACGGGCATGGGAGAGGATGCTCACCCCAAGGGTGGGCAGTGGTGGCCTTGGCTGGTGGTGAGGACACACCTCCTTCCCTCTCACTGCCTCCCCAGGGTAAAAAAGTGGAAAGGAGACTCCTTACATTTACTTATTTTTACAAAAGGAAAAAAGAAAAATTGAGGAGGAATAGTGATTATAGCACCATGAGCACAGATAATAAATAAAACTCCTTGACAGCACGGGTTTTTACATCACTTTCTTTATCCCAGCAGCTCTTAATATTTTTGCAAATGCTTCAGGGCAATGTAGAAGCTTGTGGAGGGGTGAGGAAACTCCTTCCCCATCAGCCTTGCTGGCCCTTATCTCAGCCCAAAGTTAAAAATGAAATCCATCCAAAGCATATATTTAGCAATGCTGTGTTAATTCTGCCCCAGTGCCACTTGCTTGTGTCTTGTGCCTTTCCCTGTCCCCCCTCTGCTCAGTCTCCTTTGGTTTATCTTCCCCCTGACACAAAGTTTGTCTTTCAGCAGCAATCCTCCAGTGCCTGGCAAAAATGGGATCAGACCCCGCCTGCAGCCCAGGGAGGTGACAGAAACACAACCCAAGCACTGCCAGTCCTTCAAGGACCACAAATCAGTCACTTCTGTGGCAAACAAAAATAAAAAAGCGAGGGAAAGAAGCCACCAAGGCCCCCAGGGATGCTGTGGGAGGCATCACAGGGAAGAAAATATCTGGGTTACTCTACTGGATTTTGAGTGAAGCTCCACAGGGTGGGACGTGCCCACAGCAAACACCATTTGTCTCATCTGTTCTTACCAAGCCCCAGGGAAGGAGATGCCACCTCCTTCCTCCAAGGCTTTGCTAAACTCCAAATCCAAGATCTTCTCCACAGTTCTGTTTCTGCTAATTATTCTAATCTTTGGCCTGGAGGACAGGGAAGACAACTAGACTTGGTAAAAATGCTGTGTGGTAACTTCAAGTCTTGATATGACACCTCCTATCCATCCACATCCTCTCCTCGAGCAGGTGCTGGGTCCTCATCACCATTTCCAGATGGAATCTCAGTATTATCACCAAAATCCTGCCCTCATCTGCCAACCCATTTGCTCCCCTCCATGCCTTGTGTGGACTTTCTGTAAATGAGATCAAGAAACTGCATGGGCTTAAAACAAAGGTTTCTTGCAGTGTTCAGCCAGTTTTTAGGAGGATCAGCTCCCTGCTGACCCAGGCAGTCACAGGGGCTTTTCCCATCATGTCTCTGATGGCTCAAAATGACTTCTCAGCTCCAGCCATGAGTTAAAGCTCTGGTTTGTACCCCATGTCACTAAATCCTCTCTTCCATTGCCATTTCTTATTTCCTTAACAACAATAATCCTGAACAACTGCAAATTATGATTTCTTAACTTTGACGAGTAAGGCAGGGAAAAGTGCCAAAACCAAAACCTTGTGCAAATCAGAATTTGGAAAAAACACATTAGCAACAAGAATTGTCATTGATAGCACCTGACTTCTCCCTGGAAAAGCAATTCTTACACCCAACACACAATGCTTGAATCAATCAACAAAAACCTCTACTTTTCTCATGTAAATACAACTTTTTCTACAGCTTATTTGATTAAAATGCTGTAGCTCTGTATAAATGGGAGATTTCATTTCATTTCAGTGCTCAGTCCCAAGCACAAACTTCACCTGTCAGTTTCAGGCAAAATATTAAGGGAAAAAAAAGACATATAAAAGGTACTACTCACCTATAAAGGATTTTGAGCTGGGAAATCTCTTTTATGTTATTTAAAATATTGCTTTGGAAAAAGTCCATTTTTACCAAACTCAGGTCATATATGGGGTAGGGGGTATTTGTGCTAGCTAAGGAAAAAAAGGCTATTGTTGGCAGGTTTAAATTGGTCTGCAAGGAAAGAAAAAACTGCCTTTGGAGCAGTTTTGAGGTTTGCTAGTACACACCAGTGATTTAAATGGTCCTTACTGTTAGAAGTATTTATTCTGATAATTCTTTAGACAGTAAATTTGTGGTTTGGGATTAAACACAGCAATATATTTTTAGGGGCGTGATTAATGGCCACAGGTGGACTTAGCTGCAGAGGTTGTGGTGGTTTCTTTCATCTGCTGTCGATTTGGGTTTCTTTTAAAGCTCCAAGCACTGAGGGCAGGCACAGCACCCCTTTGCCCAGCCACATCTCAGTGGGGTGGGGGGACACTGAGTGGGACACTGCTCCCCCAGCTCAAGCTAAACCCATTTCCTACTGGGAAACACAGCTTAGACACTGAATTTTGCAGGTTTTCTATTTTTTCAGCACCTCGTTTAAAAAAATTAGGAAAAAGAAATACCAATGTTTGCAAACCTCACAGCCAGGTAAAGCAAAGCCTTCAGGATGTGCACTGGCTGCTCTGGCAGGACTGGCCAAGGAATTCCTGTGTGGAGCCCCAGTCTGACACAATCCCCCCATCCTGCAATCCTGGAATGGCTTGGGATGGAGGAGACCTTAAAAAATCATCTAATCCCACCCCATCAAGGGCAGGGACACCTCCCACTATTCCAGGTTGCTCCAAGCCCTGTCCAACCTGGCCTTGGGCACCTCCAGGGACTCAGGGACACCCAGTGCCAGGGTCCCATCACCCTCACAGGAACAATTTCTCCCCACTATTTCCCCTAACCCTGCTCTCTGCCAGCATGAAGCCATTCCCCCTCGCCCCACCAAAAGCCCCTCTCCATCTGTCTCGCAGCCCCTTTAGGCACTGGAAGGTGCTCTCGGGGGCTCAGGAGCCTTCCCTTCCCCAGGTGAAGGCGGAGCTGCCCCATCCCTGCCCCTCCATCCCCGCTCCGGAGCTGGGGGCACGCTGGGCTCCGCGGGGCGATGCCCGGAGGGGCAGGAACCCCCCGGCTCCCCCCGGAACCCCCGCCGGCCCTCGGGAAGGAGAGGAGNTTCTTTCTGCTTGCTCCAGGCATCCAAGGAACCGAAATTAGGCACCCACACCTCTGCCACTCTCAGGGGAAAGACAAAGAGACCTTGAGGAGTGTCCCTCCTGGGCAGCTTGGTCCCCTGGGTGGGTGATTGGCACCATCATGGGCCAAAAGTGATGCTTTTGTATTCAGTGCCACGGGGTGATAATGGGCAAAAGAGTCCCCTCAACGGCAGGGTGGGAGCTGGCACCTGATTTCACATCCCTGAGGCATCGCTGAGGCTTAGTGAAAGAACTGGGTGAACGTCCAAGGTCTGTTTTCCCCTTTCTTTTCACACCTCACGTGTAAAAGTAAAATTTGAAAACAGCCTCTTCACTTTCTTGCTCCCTCCCAGGCTGGCCCCAGGATTCCCCATGGAATAATCTAAGAGATTCCTGGAAAACCTGTCCCAGGCGCACTCTCCAGGGCTCTGGTGCTATCTGCAGCTCCGGGAGGGGCAGCAGGGAAGGGTGGCCTTGCTGGGGGCTCTCCCTGCCCTCCCTGCCGGGGAAACAGCAGGGATGCAGCAGGATATGTGCCAGCACACAGGTGAGAGGCTGAGCTCAAATGCACGACCCCAAAAATCGGAGGAGAAGTGGTTGAACACCGTCCTGAGCAGCTCCCTGGGGTAGCAGCTGTGTCCCCACCTCCTGCAGCCCTGCTCGGAGCAGAGCATCGCCCTCCTGCCAGCTCGGGCTCCTGGGAAACCTTTCCTTCACTTCCTCGATGATTTTTAATTAGAGCAAAGGAGCGATTAAGCGAGGCAGCAATCCCTGAGCCGAGTTTCTCGTCACACTCATTTGGTGAAGGTGCTGCTGCGGGAGGGACAGAGCTGCCACGGTTCTGCCATGGCACCAGGCAGGGTGGCACAGCCAAACTCCGGGCTGGCCCCGCTGGGCTCTGCCAGGCTCTGTGGGTACCACACACATCATGTCCCCACCTCCTGCAGCCCTGCTCGGAGCAGAGCATCGCCCTCCTGCCAGCTCGGGCTCCTGGGAAACCTTTCCTTCACTTCCTCGATGATTTTTAATTAGAGCAAAGGAGCGATTGAGCGAGGCAGCAATCCCTGAGCCGAGTTTCTCGT